TGTGTGTGTGTGTGTGTGTGCGTGTGTGTGTGTGTGTGTGTGTGTGAGTGTTTGGGGAGGGAGGGGGTTGTCTCTTGCTTTTTTTTTTCTAATCATAATATATTAAAGCACATTTGTTCGTTGTTGTTGTTGTTGTTGTTGCAGCTGTTGCTGCTGCTGCTGCTGATGATGATGATGATAATGATCATGATGATGATGATTTTTTCTAACCTTCAAATTGTTTATCTCAGGCCCCGGACTTGCCTTCGTGGTATACCCAGAGGCCATCTCGTACCTGCCCGTACCACAGCTCTGGGGAGTCATGTTCTTCATTATGCTGTTCACCCTGGGTCTCGACTCACAGGTGAGTGTTTACTTTTTTATAAAATACTAATTTTGTTTGTTTGTGTAATTGTTTTTGTAACTGTTTTATTAAAACAATTTTAAACCATACTATATGTCAGATAGAGGGGTGTCTTTTCCAGACATCGGTGTAATGTTTAATTTAGAAGATTTAAGAACATTCGAACTACTCAGTGGTTCAAACTTTTCATGTCCACATTTTGGTTAATAACATAATAAATACAACTTTTAAAAAAGGAAAGTGATGAATCTTGCAAAAGCATAAATAGTTGAAAAACATCCCATCACCCATTTGAAGCTTCAGTCAGTGAATGGTTTCCATGTTATAATAATACAGCTTTATCATAAAAACGCAATAATTGATGATCGTAACCGTTTCTGAGAAGTCTCATTTTTTCAACACTCTACGGCGATTGATATCAGTGAATTGTGATTAAAAATAAGCACTTGTTTGTTTGGTTTTTCATTGATAATAATTATTATATTTTAAAAAGAATACTGAATACTTCTAATAACGATAATAAATCTGTTTAAACTGATTTCAGTACTTAAAAACAATATTTCTAATTTGTTTTCCCCCAGTTTGTGATGTGCGAAGTGACTCTGACAACCGTCAATGACTTGTGGCCAAAGATCAGATTGGGCTCCAGACAGCTGATCTTCAAGTCTTGCTATCTCCTTGCCTTGTTTCTGATTTCCCTACCGTACGCAGCAAAGGTAAGCATTGCCATGCCATTGAGTTTACTAAATGCTGCTGTCAAAGTTGAGGTTATTAAAGTTAAAAAAACCCAGCAAATTAAAAAATGGAAAAAACCCAAATTCTAAACATTTAAGTTTGGGTTAAAAGCGTTACCGTAAGTAAAGTAATTTTACTAATGCACAATATGAGAACGCATCAATATGTTTATCTTTTGATTGTTATTATTTTTTGTTATAACTTTCTCAAGCTAATCGTTTCCTCTTGAAATAAAGTCTGTTAGGAAAAAATCATAACTGTTATTGCAATTCATGTGCTACGTGTTTCTTTTTGTCCCTCAGGGAGGTATGTACCTCTTCCAGCTGGTGGACTGGTACTTTGCAGCTTTTGCTATTGTGGCCAATGGTTTATTTGAGCTCATTGCTGTCCACTGGATTTATGGTAAGTACATGAAAAGACAGCGTCCGTCTATATAATAACACTTGTGTAAAGATTTTCATAAGGGATTCAATTCACCCTATCAGAGAAAAAGAGAGATTAAGAGTGAGTGTGTGTTTGTGTATGCCTGTGTGTTTGTGTGTGTGTGTGTGTGTGTGTGTGTGAGAGAGAGAGAGAGAGAGAGAGAGAGAGAGAGAGAGAGAGAGAGAGAGAGAAAGAAAGAGAGAGAGAGAGAGAGGGAAAGAGAGAGAGAGAGAGAGAGAGAGAGAAAGAGAGAGAGAGAGAGAGAGAGAGAGAGAGAGGGGGGGAGATAGAGAGAGATTGTTGTCAGGTCCATTCATATTTTTGGTTCATTAACTTGAACTTATTTTAACATTCCGCTTTACTACCAGTTAGCTTAAATCTACACCTGCTCTGTTTTTGTTAACTAGTAAATCAAGTAAATGCTACCCGTAAAGAGAAATACTGTATCATGTTCATTTTCAAACCCTTTTGCTCAAATTGAATAATACAAATATTGACTTAAATAATATGTAAAGGTAAATACGTGAAGGTACCGAATCATGGTATGCATCAACTTTCATGATGGTTTGTTAAAATTGCTTGTTCTTTCATTCTTGCAGGGTCTGAACGTTTCATGGACGATATCAAGCTTATGATTGGCTACAAACCGCACTACATCCTCGTTATTTTTTGGAGGTTTATTACACCGTTGGTGTTGCTGGTAAGTTATTGGACATTTTTTTTTTCGAAACTTAATCTGTTGTAGTTTTACAGGTGCAGGTTTAATTAACTGATGAAGAAGATGATAATTTCCACGTGCAGTAATTCTTGTTCTCTGTAATACCTTGTGTTTAAAGTTTTTATCGATATTTAAAAACACATTTTTATTCTAAAACACACTTTGCTCTTGTCAAAGGAAGGGTGATTTTATTAAATGTCATTCTTAAAATTAAAAAAAAAGTAGAGACGCAGTTGCTACGTTCATGAACAGCCACTATAACATACGCGATTACATTTACCAAGAAAATGTGAAATAAATATCCATATACGTAAAGTCCATTATATATATAATGATCACGATTAATTATTGCTTCTACTTCTTTACCCCATCACACCGATAGTCGAAACGGAACATTTTGCGAAACGTAAAAAAAGAACAGCAATCAATACATCACATTTTTTATGGCTAAGAAAAATGATAATGTTTTTCCTTTGTGTTCCCCCACAGACTGTGATAGTGACAGCACTGATGGCCTACGATCCTCCAGTGTTCCAAGACTACATCTACAGTAGCACCGAAGTCTTCTTTGGATGGCTCCTCGCCAACGTCTCATTCGCTCCCGTCCCTCTCTTCGCTATTTTTCTGATGGTGAGAACACCAGGATCGTTCTTGCAGGTATGTGTCTATAAACTATCTATGAATATTTCTTAAAATAACATTTTATTGATCCTCGTAGGGAAAAACCTTTCAAATTACATTGTGTCCCTTTCGAGGAAATATTGCCAATGTTTGTCGTTTATTTTGATCTTGCTGTTAAAATTGATTTTCTAATGCTGCTTCACTATTCTCATGTGATATAACAGTCAATTTTGTGGTCAGACACTAGATATTCCAGCACAGTTACTAGAAAACTAAGATCATTAAACAATCAGAACCTCAAATGTTCGATTTGGTTTTACGATCCTGCTACAACGTTTACCGATTAGTAATACCTATTTGTTTTAGATTTTGTTTGTTGTAATATAATAAGCTTGTGAACGTGGCATGTCCGACTTTTACTTACAAACGATATTGTTTCACCTTTCACAGCGGTTAAAGAAGTGCCTCACTCCTAACAAACAATGGGAGCCGTCCGTGGTGGCGCTGAGGGAGCAATATCATCGGGACAACCAGCACAAGACGATATGTCCTAACCCCTTTCCATGTGTCAGCCGGCAGTCATAGCCTTACGTTCCACCATCTTGCACAACGTGTACATAACCATCTTTTCTTTTTCTCCTGAGATCTGCTGATGTTTTAGTTACATTCATCATACTTTCATTTTGTAATTTTGTAAACTACACTACTTGTCCACTACCACATCAACCGACACGAGATTTCTATGTATATATTATGTAGGATACTTGTGTTATCAATAATGTCATTAATATTATTATTATATAATAATATTTAATGTACGTGTACATTATGTTCGAAAAAAAACAACACAACTGCAATGCACGTCCAGATACATGGATAGCTCAGACATCACTTGAATAGGAATGCATACATCTGAAAATAATCAATTTTCCAACCTGAAGCATTTATAATCTAGACCATAAGTAGATCTACTCTACATTCAAACGTTATGCATTTTTAGTGTTGCTATACCTTCTTGGCAAAATGAAGAACATGCCCACATTTTTCAGTCACCGTTTTAAAGCATCGAAGTTAAAATAAGACTGTCATTTGCAAATGGAAATCATTTTCCTTGAATTGCGTGTAGATATTTATTGCTAGTCAAGTTGAGTAGGATGGACTAAATTATTGCTTATTATTTGATTTTGTTGGTGAGAAGAGCCTTTGCATATTCTTTGGAATTTATATTTTTTCGGGGGTAGATTTTCTTCCTCTCAATATAAGTTTCTGAAGTGTGAGTTGGAGAAGTTCTAGATCAAATAAAGGGAGAGTAATTTCGTCAAGTTTTCCCCCCACCGGAAAAAAAATTAGAACCCGTGGTGGTCTAAAATCGACAAAAGGAGGCTTCGCTGCCACCCGGGCAAAATTCAAAATTCCCTAGCAACTGAAAATGTTTAATGTGTCCCGCGCGCTTAAATGACATTGTGCAGATGCGAGCACCGTAAAACACTTACAAAAAAAAGAACGATTTGGTATAATATTATTATAATGTGCTATTATTTATGGCGTCTTCATCTCCCAATAATTCCAATTAGTCCCCATGAGATCTCGCAACACCCCGAATGGATTCCAGATAACGGGAGTTCTCGTTTTTTAACCGTTTAGATTTCCCCTTAACTTGCGTTTCATAAGTTATTAGTGCAAGAATTTATTTGTCTTAAGTTAAGATTCCTATAGCTACAGCAATATAGTTAGCCATGGCCTATTGATGTAAATACATGTACGTATAGTAAGATATTAACTGTGTCGGGTTTAAACAGAAAACATTCAAACTGCAGCCCGGGGACCGAGAATCCAAAGGGGCGTCGCATGGAACGTATTTACAGGGTTTTGAAAATTAATTTTGAAAAAGCAATGCATAATGAAACATTATTTCGGTAAAACTATTACTTGATTCATTCCTTACCTGTACATAGGGGCTCGTAGTTCTGGTTAAACCTGGCTCAAGATATCGATGTATCGATTACGAAATTATATTCATAAAAAAGTTTCATTATCATCACTCATCATATGTTAAAACGAGTGACATACTGCGAAACAATTAATTTCATTGTATGTAAAACATGTAATTTAAATATTATACTGCAATCATGACAAGACGTAGGTTTAGATTTAATCCAATTTATTTGGCTTCCATTTAGAAATAAAACATTCTTCCAAGTGAGTCATATGAAAGTAAACGATCAAATCCTCTGAAAAGTAGGGAATTATTCTACTCGGAAACAAAGAAAAAGTGGAATAAACAACGTTAAGATCGTACTCAAACAACTGTCACCATCCATTGCAAATGTCTCAGCATTTTTATAAAATATTTATGATCAGTCCAACGATCTTTTCCCATGGTCGTCCAAACCAACGAAATGATAAGTCAACTAGCCTTATCAAGGTCGATCACGATTTGTTGACACATTGACATATAACTGCTATAACAATATGGTAACAAATGATAATTACTCCAGGATGATATTTCAAAATGCGTTGTACTATATACACAACATATTATTTGACTCAGAGGTCTATTTATTTTGATCTTTTGGAAGACTTAAATATTGGGCCTGTGAAGAGCGAAAGAAAATGAATTATTTTCCCAGTCTTCACATATTTATTATAAATGCCATTTTTGTTGAAGTGTGTTAATGTTAGTAGTTTATTGTTACTAACATTACTATTGTTGATTTTATTTTTTCAATTTTATGTTCGTTTATTTTGAAGAAAAAACCCTCTCAATAATCATGCTGTGATTCCAGATTGCAATAAGTGAAAGTTTAAACGAACTCTACCAGTATTGATTATACTTTTTGTTTTCTTAAACTTTCGTTGAAGATGAAAAGAAGCAGGAGTCACAATGAAAGAAAAACAATTAATATAGATACTTTGAATAAATAAAACATGAAAAGAGATTGGGCTGGTAATGTCAATAAACAGAAATGCTTTCATTATCAATCAATATGTACTGACAAAAATTGAAGGCACTAGATAAATCATGTTGTGCTCAACAGGAATGTTGTTATGACCATACAGAAAGTTCAATGAAACAGTACAACCAAACAATATGGGTCTCTGGGAATCAGTCGAGTCTCATAGCATAAACAATAGAAGAGTAAACGTTTGACTTACGACCTGAAACGTTGTGTCGTGTAAACCAATCAAATGTTTATTAATTATTCAAATAATAATACCAAGCTTTAAAAGACTAAGACAATTGTTTATCGAACTACGTTTTATAAACGAACAGTTGTTTAGCATACTTAGAACATTGTCATTCAATCACAACACTTATAAGTGTGCATGTACTACCGATATGTGTGTTCGTGAGTGTGTATTACGATTTGAAGGAAAGATTTGAGAGTAACGGTGTGTATGTGTCCATTTATCTACTCATCTGACATTGGACCAGGACTGTCATTTATTTTCTTCCTAAGATGCTGACATAATGTATTACATTAGATGCGTTTCTACTTCCACTGATCTCGTATAAACTCATTTGTTTTTGGGTGTTTTTTTAAAACTGCTTTTCTTTTCTCTATTAAAACAAACAAAGGGGTAGGAAAGTAAAGATAACATACATGTGATTATGTTGTTTTAAAGGTAGAAAAAAAAACTTTAACAGTTTCTGAAACAGGCCGATTGCTTTGCAGTCAGGGATAAGGCTCAAGGGTGTTTTGCAACAGCAAATGTGGGTGGTCGCAGCTTGGGGTGGACTATACTATATTTTTATTCCTTGTTGAGATTACTTTTGAATATACAAACTTTGTGTATCTTGCCTTTGATTATATCTATGCACTATTCTTTTGTAAATATGTACCCATTTTCATTGTTTGTGAGAGTTGTACGACAGTTCTAATGTCGAGCGATGTGTTTACTTTCTTATACTGCAATCTTAGGAAAACAGATCGGCATTACCAAAAGTGAAACCACTTCTCAAACACATTTCCCTTTACACACACGCGCGGACTTGTATTTACTTAAAAATGCAAACATACAAACACATACATGTACGTGTGCACATAAACTCACATAAACGCACACACTAACTCATACACAGGCACACACACACACACGCACACACACACACACACACACACACACACACACACACACACACACACACACACACACACACACACACACAAACATTCAGCCACCCGGAAATTTTCGGAGAGAATGAGAGCATAAAATGGGAGAGAAAGAAAATTCGAGAAAAGAAAGAGGGGGAGAGAGAGAGAGTGAGAGAGAGAGTGAGAGAGAGTGAGAGAGAGAGAGAGAGAGGGGGGGAGAGACAGAGTGTGTGTTTGTGTGTGTGTGTGTGTGTGTGTGTGTGTGTGTGTGTGTGTGTGTGTGTGTGTGAGTGTGTGTGTGTGTGTGTGTGTGTGTGTGTGTGTGTGTGTGCGTTTGCGTCGAACGATTGTTACTAATTTCAAATCACCTGACTTGCTCATGTCATATAACTATTTATAAAATGTCAATGGTGTTCGAATTATGTGAGGAGGCTCGAAAAGGCGCAGAAAAAGAGGTGGGATAGGATAACATGCAGATTTTGTTATACTGTTGCGAAAATACTTTCTACCTATTTTTCTTTCTTTTAATTTTTTTTAGGTTTTCTGCTTGGAATGTGAGAAGCAGTCGAAATGTGTAAAGCTATAACTTTTGTTCGTTCAGTTGAACGCACTTAGCCTTTTGAAGTGTAGTATGAAACAATGTTGAGACGCCGTGCGTTTGTAAAGAACTAGTTCGGTAAAATACTTTCGGTTATTTTGTTTCTTTGGTTTTTCAGGAAAAGTGAAACCAGTCTGCAATAAAACAGAAAAACACTACATACTTCTCCTTGTTTATTTTTTGTACAACGTGTCTCTGTAAACATCCTGTGTTACACGTTTCAACGTTCTTCTCTAGTATCCTCTCACAACATTAGTTTTTTCCCAAACATCTATAGATTTTCCCACTATAAGTGTTTATTTTGGAGTGCTATGATCTCTGCATCGATCAATGAAGTGTGCTCTTATATAATGTCATCCCTATTTCTCCTCCTCCTCCTCCTCCTCTCTCTCTCTCTCTCTCTCTCTCTCTCTCTCTCTCTCTCCCTCTCTCTCTCTCTCTCTCTCTCTCTCTCTCTCTCTCTCTCTCTCTCTCTCTCTCTCTCCCTCTCTCTCTAGTAATACTACTAATCTCCGGCACATACATATGAGTGGGTGGTTGGCGGGTGCTCTTGTGTGGTTTGCTTCTTCTTTGCTATCAAACATAATTATTCTATCGTCTTTATCTGATTCTCCACTCCACTTCTTTTTTGTGTTACTCTCTGGTCTTGTAACACCTTTCTAATCTTCGACACTTATATGACCTTGTGTTGCAAGTGTCGTAAAACTCTTGCTTAAACTAACTAACATACATGACTTATTCGAGTTGCAAGTGGCGCAATACTCTAACTAAAACCAGATGAAGAGTCACCAGTGGCACTTGTTTCCTCATTATAACATGCTGACGAGACGAAACGTAATATGTGTCTCGAAGCGGTGGAATCAGGCGCTGTGCCTCTAATAATTAATGCTTTTTCGATAAAAATCACCTGGAAAGGTGTTTTACACAGACAGAAAAAAGGTTAAGCCAAAAAATAAAAATTCGATAAAAATGTCTGTTTCTCTCATTCCATTATTTTTACGAGTGCCTGATTTCACCACGCTGCCTCACATAATTATTTAGAAAAAGAGGGCAAAATGTTCAAATTAGACCTCAAAACGTTTGTTCGCTAGTAAGATAAGTGTCGCTAAAAAAACAAACCGTGTCTATTTCCGACGTTTTGCAAAGAGACAGTTGCAATGGTTACTCTGATTATATTTCGTGACAATAATTATTAGAAAATGATTAATTAAACTGGCGAGCTAGGAACAAAATACTCTTGTGAGAAGGAGCAGTTGTATAAGCGAGGACGAATAACACTACATCATTCTCGATACGATAGGGTCAAGGAAGTGAAGAGCTCAGTGTACATCTTTGTTTCTTACTTTCTTAATACAAGTAGCTTGATTTATTACTTCATCCCCATAGGTGATCCTTACTGCGTAACTGTTATAGAAGTAAAGATCAGAAAAAGGTGAACTTACAACCCTTCTGATGAAGGAGTTAACAAAACAACAAAACAACAAAACAAAACAAATAAAGGAAGAACGTTTAAAAAATGTGATTTACAATGGTTAACAATTCAAATGAGGTAGGACATAATCTGTGGCCTTAAACGAGGTGACGTCCTTATTAATCCTAAAACAACGCATCAGTGTGTAAGAAACGTTAATTCTTAGTTATCGCCATAACGGCACTTATTAGCGGTCTCTATAAATTTGTTGACGTCATGAGGGAATAGTTTAACGAAAGTCAAGAACTATCTAAATAGAAAAAAAATAAACAGTTGAATTAGTGGGAGATTAAACGGTGTCACTCCTATAATCTATATTATCATACTTCCTTTCTTCCCCTCATTAATTGTTTCTGCCTGTTAGTTTTACAATATCCATGCACACCCTGAAAGTTTTAGCGTTGGCTCATTTGCTCACTTCTCTTTACTCCAACAAACAAGAGGAAACACACATTGCTGTGTTGTGAATAAATCGTATACTGTCTGTCAATACTGATTTCAAGAATCTTCCCATGCCCAACAAACAATCTCTTTGGACTCACCTTGATCTAACTGCGCGTACGTGTATCCTTCCTAAGTTATAATACTATACACACGGGAATAGATGGAGGAATAGAACATATTATGTGAGGCAGTGCGGTGGAATCAGGCTCTCGTCAATTTTTTTGGCATGTAGAGTTATTGGTATCATCTTAAAGCTTGTTCACTTGCTTAATTTTAATGGAAAAAAATATCCATTTATCTTGAATACAAGTCGAGACATCTGCGAAAAAAGGAGGTGGGGATCACATGTTTTCAGAGGTAAAATTAGTGAGAAAATGGCCGCCAAAGTTTAGTTATTTACTTAGCTTAACAGAAAATTTATATTTTTTTGTGCCTTTAATCAACGTTTTTCCAGAAAAATTCACACAGAGATGAGTTCTTTGGTGGGCATGAAAGGTGTTGAGCCAAAAAACAAAAATTCGATAAAAAATCACAAACCTGCGGAAAAATGCAACTTTCTTCACTTTGATTATTTTGACGAGAGCCTGATTCCACCACGCTGCCTCACATATATTGATAATATGTATTGATATGTAATCAGATCTTCTCGGGGTCACAGAATACTGCATGACATTCCAGTAGCACATGGTTCTCTCATGTTGGAGCTTTGTAGCTTGTACTGATGACGTAGCTTAAGGTCAGCGGGCTGCCATTGGCTGTTCGGTGTGCACGTGACCCTCAGTCGCTGAAAATAATTGAGAAGGCTAGGTCATATAATATGTAAATATTATGTATAGGTAGGCCTATCTATCTATCTATCTATCTATCTATCTATCTATCTATCTATCTATCTATCTATCTATCTATCTATCTATCTATCTATCTATCTATCTCTGGCTATCTCTCTGGCTATCTGTATGTCTATCTATCAGACTCTCTATCTTTCACATTGTGATTTCATGGAAACCTCCCCCCCCCCCTTCTTTCTCTCTCTCTCTCTCTCTCTCTCTCTCTCTCTCTCTCTCTCTCCCACCTCTCTCTCTCTCTCTCTCTCTCTCCCTCTCTCTCTCTCTCTCTCTCTCTCTCTTTCTTTCTCTCTCTGTGTCTCTCTTTCTCTCTCTTTTTCTCCCCCCATCTATTTTGTGTAAATGAGTCTTGTTCTAGTAGTTTATTTAAATAAAAAGACAAAACAAATAGAAAGGGTAACACTGTGCCTGTATTACCTCTTTTAGAGTTCCGGGCGTTCTTAGCAGGAGATAGATTGCGTAAAAGGGGAGTGGCAGGACACAGATGGTAGCCAAACACCACCCAAAAGCAACCTCAGCGTTAGTGTATTGATATCCCTCGAACGTCGGGGGCTTGTATGTCACGAGTGTGCTCACAAACACTGCCTGTGCGAAGAAAAAAAATAACATGTTGATAACTTTTCCTGCGGGTTCTGTATAGGTGGATTTATATGTGCGCTAGCTACATATTATACAATGGCGTTCAAAAGAAGCTTGAAAATGTTATCACCCAATCATCCTGTAAAAGCTTTGCATTACCCACTCATGCTGCATATCAACTTAAAGATAATTACATTCTGCATGATATGATCCATTACTATTAATTTATCTATGTTAAGAGACACTTGAGATCTGGTCCCACAAAACTGACCTAAAATAAACAGAAACTGTGCGAAATCAAAGAAACGTAAAATTGTCTTCGCGTGTGTAATGAGGATAATCAATATTGATATAATGGACATACAGTACAAAAAATATGCAATGAATGGAGAATTCTGTCTCTACAATAACCGTATTATTGTATTACGATATTTTTTTAGAGTAGGTTTAAACAAAATGTAAAACAAAGTAATCTCAAATATCATGCAAACCGTGGACTTTACATTAAATGCGCTCATTGTTGTTTTGCTTAGGAGCCATAGGTTTTGTGTAGTACATGAACCCTTTGGGCATCGACTCTATTAAATTTTGGACAACATTAGCTGTCAGTTCATCCCAAATGTCACAGAGAGTTGCAAACAAAGGTTCTGAATTTTGAAACAAAGTCGCTTTTCTTTAGCTGCTGTTTCATCGGACTTCATATACCTGTAGGATTCATATCGGGGCGATTAATTACTGATCACCACTCCAACTTTGGTTTCACTTGGTTTTCCAAAAAGAGTCTAGTGGCATTGGCCCTGAGAGAAAGTGCTTTGCTATTCATGGAGACATCTACTTGAATGACATTATGTTGAAAATAGAGATAAGACATGATGTTCCATGACTTGTGCGATGTTTTCCACTAAACTGAGCTATCCTGTGATTTTCACAAGGGCAGCTTTGTTCATTCCACCCCAGACCACCCAACACCATGACAGTTTCATGGCCTCTGTTCCTCACTGAAAGATGATTATGTCAATAATATAGCTATCACAGTCCGTTTGAGGGAGAAAAAAAATTTCGTGCTCCACACGAAAATAATAGCTCCTTTAAGCAAAATACTAATGAATTGTAATGTTAAGTCCAGGTTTTGCTTGGTATTTGTTACTGCTCTTTTTCCAATCTGTTTAAAAATATAAATAGAAGATTCTGTAAATTGCACAAACAATAAATTCTCTTGTCATTTAATAATCAATGCATGTCCATTCCACCAATGTTGGAGCACGACAGAAAACGCGTGGACACACTTTTACGTTTCTTTGATTTCACATAGCTTGATTTTTTCAGGTCAATTTTGAGTGACCAGATTTCGGGAGTCTCTTAATAATAAAATGATAGATAGCATTTGTATAGCGCATATCCCTGCTCAACAGCAGGCTCTATGCGCTTTACACTATATTATTACCCCAGCAGACCATATAGGACACTCCGAAACATTCTCAGCTTCCCGAGAAGCATACAGTGCGAGCAGCCGATTAAGCGCTCAAACACTAACAAACTGACAAGATCTTTCGCTGTCTATAGCCGGGTACCCATTCTCACCTGGGTTAAGTGAGGAAAATTCGTGTAAAGTGCCTTTCCCAAGGACACAACGTCGGGCCCTTGACGGGATTCGAACCCACGACCTTGCGAGTCCGAGAGCCTAACCACTAGGCTACCGACGCCACATCTTAACATAGATGAAATATTAATGGATCAGATAGTGCAGAATTTATTTAGTTTTAAATTATACGAGGCATGAGCGGGTAATGCAAGGCTATTTCAAGATGATTGAACGATAACATTCAAGTTTTTTTGGACACCGCTGTATTATGCCATATTGCCAGTAAGAAACGACGTGTAATAGAAACAGGACGAACACAGGTTGTTCTGCTCCATGGATTCTCTCGACA